CCCTGAACCCCCTAAACCCTAATCCCGAAACCGTAAAAAGCCTAAACCCTTGAACCTAAACCCTTGAAACCCAAAAAAAGGCAGAAGCTCCAAGGTCAACTCTGACTTCAGACATCTGGTTGTGCTGGTGCAGCGCGTGATTGGAAGGGGGCAGGCGGATATCAACACACGATGTTTTGCAGTTTAGGGTCCAGCGTTAGGGAGGGGGGTGGGGTTACAGTTCAGGGTTTCAACAAAGGGTTACCGCTCAAACTCTAGGGGTATATGGCGATTGTCATGGCTGCTACTTCTTTTGGGATTCTATGGGAGTTTCTCAAAGTTGGCCCTAGAGGAACCTTGCCTCCCGATGCCCGATGCACCAAACCTAGTTTTGAGAGCTTCCCCACACAGGGCGTATGTTGAGAAACACGCAATTTGCACGTGAGAATTCGAGGATATCAGGATTTGGGTGATGCCCAGGCATGTTGCTGAGAAACGGGGGACAGTAGTAGGTGCCGGTTGGGAGCCTATTTTGAGACTGCAGGCATGCAAGTAATTCGGGGTAGCGTTTTAGGGCCCAAATACTACAATATCAATGGTATTTGGACCCTAACGCCCTATTTGTTGGGTCCTTGGAAGCTTAGGGTGTGCATGTACCCCAGTATAGACCCCCTAAAATTATAATCCTCAACAGGCGGACCCTTGGGTTTAGGGCTTCGGGGTGGTTCTCGACCAAGAAACACCCTGGGCACCCGAGCGGTAGATGGGTTTCCCCCAAAATTAGGCGTAGCTTTTGTAAGTCAAGTGCCAGGCAGACCATGCCAAAGAAACAAGCTTCGCTGAGCTGCTCCAGGACGCATTTCCGTAGGGCTGCGAGGTCCTGGTGCATGTCTTAGGAGGACCCCCCACCCTGTATTAATGGTATAAGAGGGATATACTAGGACCTTAATGCAATCGTTATTATCCCTTGCAGCCACTAGTACAGGGTGGGGGGTCCACCTGAACCATAAACCCTAAACTACAGGACTCAGCCCCTTAGCCGCCAGGATCTGCGACGAGTCATGGCCACGCAATCGGGCCAGGGAGTCCACCAAACTGAGGAGGTCGAGGGCGACCGCAACGAGACGCTGGGCCTGCGTTCCATTTAGGGTTTATGGGATTTGCCTGGACCCCAAAGTAGGTAGAATAATAGCCCAAAACCCAGAAATATAGCCCAAACGCCCATTATTCTACGTAATTTTTTGGGCTTCAGGTAAAAGGTTGTTAGGGTTAAGGGTTTAGGGTTTCGTTTGTGAGGGCTAAGCTTACAGGCTTGCTAGGGCTAGGGTTTGTCGATAGAGGGTTTCTGCAGGGCTAAGCTGGGTTGCACTGCGGAATTTAATTTCAATTACTACATTGGGGAAACCCGAAAATAGAAATAAATACCCGGTATGGTAACTTAATTTCAGTTCCTTAACAATAAGCTAGTGAGGGTCTAGGGAGCTGCTTTTTGGTATACCCTGCTCACAGAAGCATGGAAGCATGCTTTCCATTTCGTTTCAGAAGACAGTACCCTAAAACGCAAACCCTAAACTGTAGTTGAAAATCCCACAGACCTGGTTGTAAATGCTTATTCTTGCAGTTACAGGTAGGCTTTATAAGTACCCCTCCCTCTCCATTCAATCATAAGTAAGCCAGAAGTCCTTCAAGTAGAACATCCGAAGCCCTGAACTCTAAACCCTCAACCCTAAACCCTCAAACCGTCACCCTAAACCCTCAACCCGAAACCCTCAATGCTAAGCCCTAAACCCTAAACCTGCAAGCATACGAGGCATGACCCGGCCACGCCACGGGCGCGAAACAGCTTGGCCTCTCCGTTGGGCCTGCGCCAGATGTCCCCAGAAGTGGAGGGAGAGGTGGGATTTAGGGTTTTTGGGTTTAGGGTTTAGGAGTTTAGGATTTACTGGGTTGCTGTTAAGGGATTTAATGTTACGACTCTATACATATTATGTATATATATATATACATATAGACCCAGTGTGGTAGCTGAATTTAAATTCCTCAACAACAACAACCCAGTTTAGGGTTGCAACAAACCACCCTAAGTTTAAACCTGCCCTGTAAACACTGAGACTGCAGCCCAACTCGAATCTTTTCGCCTGCACAAGCCCTGACACTAAACCCAATAGAAACCTATAATTAGACCTTGAAACCCTTGCATAGAACCTCAATGTAAAATTTCCATATACCTCAAACCCTCAAGATTTTCGCGCATTGCGACCCGTATCTTAAGCGATGAAGCCTCTTGTGGATCTCAGAAGCCCTCAGGCGAAAGATGAGCCTGAGGCACGGGTACTTTTGGACAAATCCTAGGCTACCCATGGATATCAGGTGCCATAATGCAATTTAGACCCAGAATGGAACCTGAATTTTGGGAACTACCGATAGGTACCTGGACTCTGGGATCATGTCCAGGATGTCCTCGAGGACAAGGAAAACAAGCTGAATGTCCAGAATCAGACTTCGGCAATCGCAGCCATGACCACATTCGGGGAGGGGGGGGGTGTCTCTCAACCTTAAAACATAGTTGTAAACCCTAACCGGAGAATCTCAGGGAAGTATATGGGATTGTGGGGGCTCTTCACAAGGGTTTAAATAGGTGCTCAACAGCAGCCCTTTAGGCTAGAACTTCAGTCTTACAGGTCTGCGACAAGAAAACTTAGTACTTGAAAGAATTCCGCGCCGAACTGCTTGGTCGGTCTATGTATATATAAGGAACTCCAAGCAAGGGGATTGTTGGTTCACATTACGACTGCCCTTACCCTGACCGCTGACACGTTACGCCGAGGCAAGCAAGGCACTGACGCCCGAAGCGCACGAGGTGGGGTCTTTGAAGTGTTTGAGAGTCAAATCTCTGACCATTCGAGTTTTGCAACGCAAAGACATTTGTACTGAAGTTCCTGCGAAAGTTTACTGGCTATGCTTTGCGGAAGTATTGTAAAGTATTCAGGATGCTACTCAGGCAGCTGTGGTGGTACGAGCGGTAGCGCTACCCCCCAAAAACTCAGGGGTTCCCACATTCTTACTTTGGGCGCATGTGGATGCATTCTTCTCTACCTACCTGGGCCCTTCGGGATCGAGTCGCGAACCCCGGACGTTAGACCTAAGACTTTGAAGCTCAATCCTTCATCCTTAGTCAGACTTACCCTAAGGGTCCAAGTGATATATAGGGTTATATAGGGATATTCAGGGTTTAGGGTTAAGGGTGCATGTACCCAATAATTGGGTCCCTTTACAGGGGATATATGGTCACGCCCCGGCGGGCTCCCCCCCCCTCCCCCCCCCATGGTATGGTCCC